AGGGGTTATGTACTCTTGCCTGTAGATCTACACTTAGACAGGTGCATGCACAATAATAGCCCAGTTATTAGCATTAAAAAGTAAAAAATACGCTCGGTATCTGTTCTTGCTACTGTGCTCTATGGCTGCCAGACCTGGACCATCTCTAGGGGTAAGCGGTATATGCTCTGGAAATGAGCAGATTATGCTCTAGCGGATGTTTGCAGAATGCTCGAGAAAACAGCCAATTATGTTTTTTATACGCTTCACTAGAAAGACCAAAAGAACATAATTATAATCGTCATGAATAAAGGACTCAGACCATTCTCATGATGTGGACTGGGAGCTTTGTGGAAGTACAGGACAATAATAATTATGCAAGAGGAATACCAAATTCACAACCAAACACTGACCTTTTTTTATCATTCCTAATCAACATAGTCGTATGTTCCTCTTGACTGGATTACACAGAACGGATATAATTATATGATGCCATTTGATTTATGTTTTTGGCAGAACATTCTATTTCCGGCATATGCGAATATGTGGGTTGCCATTGTGCGGTTGACATTGCCGCGGAAATGCATATACCGGTACTTGAAGTAATAATAATAATAATCTGTCCCTGCGGGAATTTGCGGAAAAAATCCTCGAAAACTTGTGCAAGAAATTGCGGTGGAAAACAACAAAAAATGCGGCGAAAAGTTCGGAACTTGCCAGGAACTCCCGGAATTATTGGCAGAAAATTGCGGATTTGGGCCAAGTCACGAAATTTGTTGTATCCTTAGAATCGCTATTTGCGTACTGTGGAAATAAGCTACAAGCAGGATCATGGAAAGCACTGTATACTGCGTGAAAAGTGCAGAAAAATGTCAAAAGAAGTGCAGAAAACAACAAAAAACGCGGGAAATCGCGAAATTTGTTGCGTCCGTGGAATCGTGATTTCCAGGAGGGACAGAATAATAATAATATTAGGGAGGTTCCGGAGTACGATTTTTCGTGCCAAAATCCGTGGAGGCTCTACGGATTTTTTATACGTCGTTTTCGAGCAGTGAAAAGTTCCGGGGTACGGAACTTATGTGTTTGCCGTCATTGCCTAGGTTACGATCGCAAACACGTCACATTCCCGCGCTATGCCTTTTTATTTTGAAAATTTGTACCGAAATCAAAACTTCCCGCGAAAAATCGATGTTTCTCGTACCAAATTTGTACGCGAAAAATCTTTCTGCACCCGATGGTCGATGGCGCAAAATCTCCATACGAAATATGGTTCGTATGAAAGCCAGTCCACACGGATTCTCCGTGCCGAAAAATCGTATGGAGCACGCCTGGAAAAAATCCGTAGCGCCCATACGGATTTTAGCACGGAAAATCGTACCCCGGAACCTCTCTAATAATAATAATAATCACTTGCCAATAACAAAGACAACAATAATACCATCAGCCGCCATTCACCGGTTTTGACGGTGCTTCACTGATGTTGAATGAGAAGAATTATACTGCTGCCTTCAGTGCTATTGTGTCGCTGAAGGGCTCGATTTCAGATTTGATGACGGTTACTTTTCAACGGATTTTGTTTTCTGATTTACCTCTCTTGCTATTACTGTACCTGCTTGTGTTAAGTCTCATTCTCGCAGATTAGTTGCATAATAGATTGTACATGCATCATTGTAGATTTGCTGTTCACAGTATTTCTCTCTTTTTTCTTTCTTTTTTTCTCAGTCTCCCTTATTATATTTTCTTCACATACAACAGCAGTACTCCCCATGGTCTTAAATGACCCAGGATGCTGCATAATACAAACACAAAACCAATAAAGCCACCCCCCCCATAATAATACTTGGTCCGCGTCAGCGATATTGTCGCTTATCTTTCAGCTTTGTTTATATATAGCCAATGCTTACTTGGCAGCCCATTTCATCCCAATTTTGGTTAGCAAGTTAGTTTGCTAGTACCTGAAAGGTCTAGCTAGAGTTCGAGTGGATTTCAAGAGCGAAAGGTGGGCGATTCTGATTGATACAGCGCCGCATTAATAGATTATTTTTTACGCTGTGCAGGCAAGAGCAGCGCAAGCCACAAGAAAGTAATCGGCTACTCGGAATCAGCTCGGAATCAGCTCCATTTTGCTGAACGGCCGAGATCGCTCACCTCAGGGATCGCTCATCAAGCTGAGATCGCAGCTCCCTTACCTCCAGCTCAACGCTCGGAGTATCCAGCGCATCGTGGAGATTTGCAAGTACTGTACGCGTAGTCGTCGTTCAAAATAAAATCTTGCAAAGAACGGCGTCTGATTTGAACCATACAGGCTGTCGTGCTGCCCACGCGAAGTCCTATTGAGAAGGCGACCGTCACGATCGACTTCTCTTTAGAAAATAGCCAGGCAGCGGAGAGGAAGAGAGAGGAGCTTGCAAAAGCAAGAGAGTCGATCCCGAGCAAAAATATTTGTCGCCAGCGACGAGAGCAGCGACGAGGAGGACCGAAAAAAGTAGGAACCCTTCCTTGGTCAATAAATTCCTCGCAGCTAGTTGTCATTCTATACCTTACCGTCCATCGCACCAAGTTTTATCACTTCAAGTGCACGCGTTCATGTCCAAAGTCTAAGTTCAAATTGTCGAAAGATAAGCGACAATATTGCTGACGCGGACCAAGTAATAATAATAATAATAATCTTCACTAGTTTGAGGGAAAGAGACAAACGGGAAAAGTCTGAAGAAAAAATTGACTGTCACCACCAGGACTCGAACCAGGGACCCTCGCTTGTAGCTAGCGATGCTCTAACCACTGAGCTATGGTGTAATAATAATAATAATAATAATAATCGACAAGAAGCGCAACGTACATGTATGGTCCTTGAATAGCAGGTGTGTATATATAACAGCCTCATTGAGCATCTGCCCTTGTTTTTCGGATGCCATTTTATGCCCCTTCTCAAAAGGACCTGATTATGCCAAAAAGTATGCCTTCACTAGCAGGTGTGTATAACAGCCTCATTGAGCATCTGCCCTTGTTTTTCGGGTGTCATTTTATGCTCATTCTCAAAAAGGACCTGATTTTGCCAAAAGTTTTGCCGGAATAATCCGCTTACCCCTAGCCATCTCACAAGCTATCATAAAATTAGAGCTTTTGAGCTCAGGTATCTGCGTAAGTTGCTTGGCATCAAATACTATCATCATCGCACAAATCAGTCAGTACTGCAGAAAGTCAAAAAAATGATATTGGCCCGTTCACACGCCTTGATTCAACTTTAAAAGCATATCAAGTTGAAGTGGTTTGGACATGCGGCTAGGCATCATGATAGCTATTTCTTGGATGGAATGGTGCCGGGATCAAGAAAGACCCCGTGGTCACAATCAATTCGGTTCACCAGCATCAAAGACTGATCAATTAATCGTACAATTCTGCCTCTCTCTCTCTCTCTCTCTCTCTCTCTCTCTCTCTCTCTCTCTCTCTCTCTCTCTCTCTCTCGTTGCTGCTGATCGTGATAGGTATAGGCAGCTAGTTTATGAGTGCATTTAGATTCTCTTTTTTCTTCTTTTTCTTCTTTTGGTGCTGCCGCCTTATGACACAGGTGGAGCCCCTATGGCCAGAATGGTTACGGATTCTACATACATGTACATAAAATGAACCCAATGCTGTAGACATACATTAGGCTATGACAGTAGCCAACATTCGGGTTGTATTTTGGACACAGGTTATATAAATCTCGAATGAACAGAATAAACCGTGATTGCGGCCATGTAACCGAACGACTACACTTAAAAACCGTAAAAGGGGATCACGTGGGATCCCGTACACCTCGTGCGTACTTGGACCTAGCATGGCGTGTATGCCAAGTCCATCGATTCTGGCTGGAGAATTAGCAATTCCACCCTCTCTTCAGAATTGAGGGGTGTGATGGAATTGGATTCCGTCAATTCTGACGATGGAATTTGGGTAATCGAACCGTGCATCCACCATAACTAATTCTAGAATTGACCGAAATGTGTGTAATCAAATGCGCCCATAGTCTGCATGGCAGAAACCAAAAAAAGAAAAAAGAAAAACGCCGACCGACCCTGGTACTGATGAGTGAAGTGACCCAAAACAACGAATTAATTCTGGGTGGCCTTATTATTGTAATTATAGTTTCCGTAGAGATAATGCTTTATTATCATATGCCGCCGGGATATTGTAGAAATGACTGTAGAATTGTAGTATTGAAGTACATGTAAAATAAAGATTTATATTATTATTATGATTATTATCATTACGAAGTAGTGGGTGCGACTTCGGCGATGATTATTATCATTATTATGATTATTATTTACAGTACTTAACTTCAGTTTCTTTGGTTGTATCCTTAGTTCCGTATTTTTCCCACTGATGATAGGAACAAGAAATCGATTCTGGGTTTTCAATGATTAATATTATTATGATTATAATGTATACACACCATGTAGTCTACCATGTACCGTGTATACGCACGTAGCAAGAGAAGCACGCAAATCTGCAAATGCACCAGATGTTCACCCACAGGTTTTCTCTTATAGCAACGATAGCGGACAATATCTGAATGAGACAGATCAAGACTAGCGCCAGATAACTGACCAATCCACACAACCTGCAAAGCCATGTGAATCGACCACCAATGCACACCTGGTCTACACCACATGGAGTACATTGGCACACAACAGCCAAGACAGTTACCTATGCCTGAGTACTGGGAACCAAGAGCCAACGGACATACCAACAACCTCAGCCACACGCAGACAGACAGTACAATGAATGATGTAGTTTTGACGTGACTGGCCGTCTTGAGCAGACCTGTACCCTGGTATTGCACTACTGCCTGTACTAGTAATGTTTGCCCGGGTTTCGTGCAAACCAGTGCTCACACAAGGGACTGGCTGCAGTGACTGCCTGCAGCGCATCACCTGGCGGCTGCTTTCCTAAAGCACGACGTTATTATTACAAACGCAATTCTCCAAACTTCCATGGGCTCCATACGTACAATTACAACACACTGAATAAAATATCCCCGCATCCCAAAGCTTTCTAAAGGATCAGTTACAAAGCATAATAAATAATGCTGGCAAAATCGTTTATATTATAAAGAGTTTGCGAGCATTGTGCGAGCATCCATGGAAGCATAATTCCACAATTTCGCAATCATAATTCGCCGTAGTCCACAGGTCGAACGAAGTGTCAAAATGCTGTGAAGGAAAAAACACCCAAATGTGTATGAATCTATATGAAAACTGGACCCAAAAAGTCAGCGCTGTCATGATGGGCTAGCTGCAACATAGCACTCTTGAGTCCAATAATATGGAAATAAATTAAAGTAAGAAAAGGACCAAGGAACTACGAGTTACGTTATAATGTGCACTACCATCAGTTACCTGACACTCAGCTCATGCGATAACATTGAACGACGGTACTGACGTTCTACTTCGAAGTACAAATAACTGGCTATCAGCTATAGCCCATCTTGGATGCGCACTCCAACAGACGGAATCTGGGTCTGAGAGTCGAAACTAAAATTAAGCTTTCGCCAAAGTATGACAGAAAGGCAGAGATGTCAAAACGTTTTCAGTGATTTGATGGATACCATAGGCTCACATACTTCGAACCTGTCCATTGGCATGTGCAAACAGTGATGCAACACTCCCACTGCTGCTCGGTGTGTGGAAAAAAGGAAGAAAAACAACATCTTTCTTGCTGAGGTGCTCACTTTGCGAAGTGCACTGCATGCTGTTTACTGCTGCTTACTGCTGCTTACTGCTGCTGAAGACTGAGCCGCTCTGACTCATCTTTGGCATTGCTGCTGTGAGCAGTCTGCCCACTAGTTTTCAAACGAATACAGTCACTGCCTGGTGCAGCAAATGCGGTGTTTGCTGCTACCATGGCCACTGTTGTTGCTGCCATGGCATCTGTTGCAGTGGTTGCTGCCATGGCATCTGCTCTTGCCGCTGTGTCTGCTGCAGTGTTAGCTGCAATGGCAACTGCTCTTCCTGCCGAGTCTGTTGCAGTGATAGCTATGGCTGGCTCAGCTGCTGTATCTGCTGGTTCTGATAAATCTGCTGGGCTAGCTACTAGGCGGCCATCACCATGATCACAGGCAATATTGCACGAGCAGAATCCATATCCCTGAAACCCTCAAAGGTCTATAGTCACAATGCAGGACAGCTGCTGCATCCATCAATACAGGTCTACCGGCTGCATGGACTGGATCACGTGATATATGGCAGGTCAGTAAAGCTGTTCTCTGCAATGGACAATTCCAACAGCAACCGTTGCTCACGTACGCCAGCAGAATGCTGGCTGCTTTCTGGCTTGAGCTGCAACTGGATGTGTACAACCGTAGTATTCTGTCACACCACGGTAAGTGTAATTGTGACTTGCAAAGACGGTGCAAAATACGCAATGAAGCCATGTTCATCACTTGGAATGGTAGACGAGACGATTTGCACAGGCAAGCTGTACAGGAACAAGCAGAATTAGGCACGCACACACATGTACGAGAAACACACACACACATATACACACACATCCACGCATGTACACACACACATACACACACACACAAACACACACACACACACACACACATGCACACACACACACACACACTACTACTACTACTATAGCATGACTGCCCATTGGGCAATGTCACCCCCGGAGGGGGCCAGAGTTTGGAGTGCACCGTCATTGGCAGGACTTCTGGTGCCTCGTCAAATCTTGCTGTCGTCGGAAACGTTTCGGGCAATGCATGCAGATCAGCGGCAGTGATTCCCTATCGGCTGCAGCAAGACGTTTTCCACGGTTGCAGTTATGGCGGTTAAAACCAGCCCGGGACTTGAAGCAGCGATTGCAGCGTTGACAATGCTGGAAGCAGCAACTAGCGAGAGACGCCGTCAATGCCGTATCTGCATGTTCAGGGAGTGCAGGCTGGCAGCGATGAACTGCAAGCCCACCCTTACTACGGAACCATCGGCAGCAACTGACGCACTGTGCTGAACCACGCTGTTGGTGGACGGGAAGTTGGCGCTCAGCCAAACACTTGTGCCGTGCCTTGTCTTGAGGACGAGAGAAAGCCCGGTTGCAAGATGAGCAGAGTACGGATTTCTCTACTGCCCGAGGAGGCTGAAAAACCAGAACCTGCTCTCGCCAAGCTGACCGGTCTTGTGCGCAATCAAACCAGTTTGGAATGGACTTCGTGTCAGTAGCCACAACGTCTCTCCACCTACGCCTGGGACCGCAGAAGGGGCGCGCAGCCAACAAACGACCAAACAACAGCTGCAATGGGACACGGTCCTCCGACATCCGAGCCACATGACCAAGCCACTCTAAACGACGATGGCGCATCTTAACAGAGAGTGGCACTGGGTCACCCCAGTGACGACGTAACTGCGCAGACGTGATGCGATCGGATTGCTGCTGACTGCGAGGGATGGCTAATATTGTGCGGATGCAGCGATGATGAAAGGCATCCAAACGTCTACTATCAGCTTTCAAGGGCGTCCAGCACTCACTGCCGTACAGCAAAATGGACAAGACACAGGCCACGTATAGCTTTCGCTTACTGACTAATGACAGCGAGCGATCCGACAAGACTGGAAGAAGAGCTCCAAAGGCTTTGGAAGCCTCAGCTATGCGGCGACTGACGTCAGTAGAGGAGCGGGCATCCGGTGTCACGACGGACCCCAGATAAATGAAGGATGGAACGTGCTCCACAGTATCACCGTTGACGTTCATATCGGCTCTATCAGGCATGTTGACTTGGCTACCTGCCACGAGAAATTTCGTTTTAGCAGCGTTGACGCAGAGGCCAAAGGAAGAGGCAACCGTGCAGAATGTTTCAAGGCACTTCTCAGCACCAGGGCGGTCTTCAGCGAGCAAGACCGCGTCATCTGCGTACTCAATGTCGTTGATGATTGCGGCAGTAGACTGGCGAGCGGGCTTTGAGAAAAGGTTGCCATTGATGCTAAATTGGATGGGGATGCCAGGTGGATGGTCGCTGTCCTGCATCATTTGTGCCCACCGCTCAAGCACAACACCGAAGTACAGATTAAAAAGTACTGGGGCCATCACACAGCCTTGACGGAGGCCATTGTTGACCGCAAACGGCTCGGTAGTGCTGGCACCGACGCGCACAGCTGCCTGCATGCTCTCGTGGAACGATTGGATTAGATTGAGGAGCCCTTCAGGAATGCCTAGCCTCCCCAATGCTAGCCAGAGTGCTTGGCGTGGTACGGAATCATATGCTTTCTTCAGGTCTACGAAGACACAGAACAGCTTCTGACGGTGCTCGTACGATTTCTCGATGAGCTGGCGAATGGAAAAGATGGCATCAGCGCAGCCGCGACCAGGGCGAAAGCCACACTGGGATTCTGGAAGTTCTTGTTCCGCGACAAGTTGGAGACGGTCCTGAATGAGACGGCCACAAACCTTGCCAGCGACATCTAGGAGGGCAATGCCGCGCCAGTTGTTGCAGTTGGTCAAGTCACCCTTTTTG